TGGTAATGATTCTGCACTGTGCACTCAAGGATACCTGAAAGGTCTCCTTGTTAAAGGCAAGGTAGTTGTGTGAGCAAGGGGGAGGAATAGGAAGAATTGCTAAGGGAGAGGAGGTGAAAAACGCTGGAGGGCTGCCATGATTCTTTTGAATGAAGAAACTGATGGTGTGAGTACTTCAGCTGATGTTCATGTTCTTCCCACAACAGATGCGAGCGCAACACCAGCAGCAACAATCTTATTCAGAGGAACTGTAGTCGGAGACTCATCTACTCCAGCTGTTGCTTCCCTCTCTTCAAGAGGCCCTAACCTGGCAAATCCAGGTATTCTGAAACCAGACTTTACTGGACCAGGTGTGAGCATTCTTGCTGCATGGCCATTCCCTGTTGACAATACCACAAACTCAAAAGTCAATTTCAACATAATTTCTGGAACTTCAATGCCATGTCCGCATCTCAGTTGAATTGCTGCCTTGCTTAAGAGCTCTCACCCTTACTGGCCGCCAGCTGCCATTAAATCTGATATAATGACTTCTGCTTACCTTCTAAATTTGGAAGGCAAACCTATTCTCGATGAAACATTTAAGCCTGCAGATGTTTTAGCCACTGGTGCTGGCCATGTCAATCCATCAAAGGCAAATGATCCAGGATTAGTTTATGATATTCAACCAGATGATTATATCCCTTATCTTTGTGGCTTGGGCTACAAAGACGATGAAGTATCATTGCGCACAGACAAATACAGTGCTCAAAGGTATCGAGCATACCTGAAGGAGAGCTGAACTATCCTTCATTTTCTGTCACATTGGGACCATCTCAGACATTCACAAGAACTCTTACAAATGTTGGTGAGGCATATTCATCTTAAGCAGTCAAGGTTAATGCACCAGAAGGAGTATATGTGAGCGTCAAGCCTAAAAACACTTAACTTTGCAAAAGTGAACCAGAAGATGTCAGTTCTCAGTGGCATTCATCCGTACTGGTTCAAAAGGCAAAGCTGGTGAATTCACTCAAGGATTTCTAGCATGGGTATGGGTTTCTGCTAAATATCTTGTTAGGAGTCCGGTTTCTGTTAAATTACAGTGACCATTGGATGCATATTGTATAGTGGTCACATGGTGACTTCTTGTGTTATCAAACTTTATGGAGTTGTGTGTGATCAAGCATTTATATACCGACTCATTTCCTTATGTTTCCTTCAGTAACATGGAAACATTTTAAAGCAGATGACCACTGAGAGAATTTAAGTCTAGGACAGAGATGGAGAAATCTTGGATCTGCTACTGGTCGAAAAAACAATTAAAAAGGTAATATGGTAATAAAGTTAACAATAATAAACAGGATGTTGAAAGAGACAAAAGCTGCAAAAATAGATGCCAAAGAATAAAAGGTAAAGAATAATTGCATAACCCAGTGCACTGTCTCACATCTAACTTGGGTTTTATGTTAGTTTTTCAGTAAAACAGTGCTGATAGAAATCTAATTACTAATTTAACTTCCACTGGGATGACTCTCCTTACCTAGACGTTGAACACTGTCAGCAAAGAATACATATAGGAAATGAGAAGAATCCTTGCTCAAGAATGATAAACATTAGATTTCCTGTTAACTCACATATCAAGTCATCAGGTCTACATCTAAGGAAGCTAATGTTTTTGAATACACTAAATACCCAGGAGCCAGATGCCCACATGCAATACAATGTCAACAGTATCGCATTCTATCAAGGGAATTGCAGAGAAACTTTCCCATTGTAGGGACTCAATATAAGATTCATTAAGCAGTTACCATAGATTGATCCTCGACTGCATTGTCTCTGAATTTGATGTTTAAATAGTAACGGTAAAAACTGAAATGCATGAAAACTCATCAACCAAAACCTGGAGGCACATCAGGGTCCTCATCACTACCATCACATGCCTGCTTGTGCTCCATGTCTGTAGAAATGCCAGGTTCCAATCTGTTATCAACAGAATCCATCCTATCTTGTAACTGGTGTGAACTTCCCTTCCATTCTTCAATGGCTCCTTTAACATGAGGTAGAGGTAGTTGTAACGCATCATTATCATTTTTCTGATAATTGCCAGAAAAACAAAATCCCAGTGGTATTTTTGGCTCATTGTCAGACAACTTATCATCAATTTCACTGGCAGCAGCAACAACTAAGCCATTACTGTCAACTTCGTTTTGAACTGGAACATCACGAGTGGAGGGTTCACCCTCAGCTTCCCCATTTGGGTTAGTCAATTTATTGTAGACGGATTGAACAGTTTCTGCTATTTCACTTTTCATGCCATCACTTGATCTGATTATACCCCACAACCCATCAGATATGTGGCTCATTACTTGGTCCCTAGCAATTGGAAGCACACCAAAGGAAAAAATCCAGCATTATCAGCTCCCACATAACTTTACATTTCTAATCCTCTGACGGTAACCATTCAAAGAGAGATTGAATAAAGTTTGTAACTACCACTTAGAAGTCCCGAAGGCTAAATATCACCCTTATTTAATCATTTAATTGTAAAATGCTATTAGTATTTTAACAAAGAGATACAAAACCACCACCACAAAAACCTACACAGTCACCAGTCGCATTTAACCATCAAGAGAAGGCGAAAAATTAGTTACGTACCCAACCTCCTGATAAATGTCATCGGAAAGCTGTCTGGGTTTCATATTCTCAGCACCTTCACGATTAAGCACGGCGGATTGCTTCACAATAGAAGCAATATTTTCTCGCAATTCTTCCTGCGATTAATTGCCCCTCTTTCAGAAATCCCACTCATAAATTTTGTTCAAATTTTCAAAACTTACAAATAAATAATTTCCAACCGTCCAAACATACTTTCAATCTACTCCTATCCAATCCAAAAGTCCAAACATTGGCTAAATTAAAAATCAAATCGAATATTATTGAGTAAAATACAAGGTTCCCATAATAATTCAATGAATTTAATTAGAAAATTCAGTGGAAATTAGTTTAAAAAAAAAGAACCAAATCAGTAGAAAAAGGCTTGATTTTTACAATTATTAACAAGCATTTTAGACAAATCTGTTTTCCAGCATTCCCAGCAACAGCAGCCCTAATCATAAGAATTTAGATACAAACAAATACAGAAAGTAGAGAATAATCATAAGAATTTAGAAACAAACAAATACAGAAACTAGCGAAATTCGTTACCCTAAGAAAGATGAGAGAGAGAGAAGGGTACGGACATTGTTTTTTAGCTTGAGGATGATGCTGCGGCGGAGCCTGTCGAAGTCTCCGTCGTCCTTGAGCTTGGCGATCACCTCCTCTTTGCTGACCTTGTGGTCGTGCGAGCACTCCATTGGATTTTTGCTTTGCTTCTTTGCATCCAAAGCCCTTTTACTTATTTGCCGCCACAACTTATAGCCTTAAGAAAAAGTACCTGTTGTAAATTTATTTTACAATTAAGAACAAACCTTATTAAAATAATTTTTCATTGCTCGATAGTTTGCAAGTTTATTTGCATGGATTATGTCCATAATTGCTAAAGAAATGTTCATAGGTAAAGTTTTTTAACCCCTCAAAGAATTACTTTGGTCGAAAGCTAAGTAAATCATACTATGTACTAATTTTGTGCAAGTAGCAATTATTTTTAAAAATTTGACAAAATAGTCCTTAAAGTCGTAGATAGTTACATTTTCCCCCTATCACTCTGATATATAGTTAAATTTGACAATACATTGGGATTACTAGTGTGGATTTGTAACTTTAGGTACCGTTTGGTATGTGGGACAGGACGGAACAAAGTGGGATAAGACGTTTCGTCCCACGTTTGGTGCGCCTAAAACGGATGGAACGAGCTGTTCCACGGGACGAGTTTTGGGTGAATTTTCGTTCCACCTCACCCCCCCTGGAACGACTCGTTCCACATCCATGGAACACAAAATTATAACCTCTCCGTCTCCTTCTTCTTCGTCCTTGTTTCCATCCGAGGGCATCTCCGTTCCGTTCCATCCTGTCCCGTCCCATTCCGTTCCGTCCCGTCTCGTCTGCATACCAAAGGATACCTTAGAGCATGTGTACTTACTTTACTTGAGAGGAATCATTAGAGAAAATTACACTTCTTTGATCAGAAAAAGGAAATTGTACTTTTTTGTTCAGGTATGAAATAAATTATTCTTTTCTTTGCGATCTAATACTTGGTTATTCAAGTATGAAATAACTAGTAATACAGCCCACTCATTTCTTGATTCTTTATATGCAAGTAAGCATACATGTTAGAAATGAGAATGATTAATCCTCAAACCTTGCATACTCATTCGTGTTAAGGGAAAAGGTTCTGGCAGTGGCCAACAGCCTTTTCTTTAGGCCCACTCTCACACGCGTTGTTTTTTCTTAAGACTATAAGGTATTACGGAGAAAAGTTCCAACCTCACTCATTGCAACTTCTTATTGGATGACCCTACAAGTCCAACCATAAAACGCCTGTACTAAAGACTCCCCGTATTCACAGTTGTTTTGCCCTTTTTTCAAAGACATACCAAAGTTATATGCACTAAACCATACGCCAGGGGGAGTTTGAGAGGTAAGTGGGAGATTTTTTTTCTTGCTGTTCTTGAAACACGAGTCGGTACACCACGTGTCATATTATAAGTGTACCGACCCGTATTCTCGGTACACTATCTCCCCATATGGATACGGCTTTTGAAACCCCATGAGAGGGGGAGATAGAGACCTTTGGCATTCATGCCATTTTGTGTGTTACGTGTTTAATGAAAAACTCTTAAATTTCCCTGTCGGTACGGGATTCTATAGAACCAGCCCAAAAATCGACATAGCTAAGCGTCCCAGTTCTCAAAGCCAAGCCCTTGCCTTGTGCACATAGAAACACTATGAGTAGGCTCGTCGAATCAGAAAACAAGCAATACCACCTGCTTCTCCAAGACAGTTCCTTGAAAACATAGTAAACCCGAGGGCCCGACCAACCCGACAAATTTAACTACAAGAATTTTCTTCTATGTGAAGCACATATAGAATCAGAACACAGGCATCGATGGATAAAAACCATTTCACATCAGAACAAACTAGGCTGATAAATTGGTGACCGTCAAAAACTGCACGGTTGAATGCATAGCATTCATTCATCTAATCTAGGTCAATATGGAGAAGGAATGGTCGGGGCTCAGTTGCCGATTCAATAACTGTACAATTTAGTAACTAGCCCCAAGAACAGTCCCATCTGGGAAAAAAACAGTATACATGTATACAACAGGACACAAGGGTGACTTCACTGGATGTTTTGCCACGATGGAAATGCAAAACCCCGTTAGATGACAAACCTATTATCCGAAAAGACCAAGGGAGGTTGGCTACATCAGTATTGTGATTGCCTGTGGGATGAATGATGAGGCCTTTTCCTTGAGCAGCCGCGGCCACTTCCATAGCTTGAGTTTCTGCACAGAACGATATATGCCAATGAGCTAGCTACACAAGCATTAACCTGAAACTCAACTTTTAGTTCATTGTTTAAGCATTACAATTGTACTTACAAATCATGTTCCTGCATTCTACTTCTTGATGATTCCTCTGATCTAGAACCCTGCCAAATATGAGTTACTTTAGAGACACTGCAGTTAAACTGGATAAAAAAGACTCGACAGTAAGGTCAAAATTCCAGCACAGGGGAATGTTCTACTGTGTTCGCCCAGATCTGTTTAACGGAAAACAAAGTATCTATATTTTACAACAGGTTGTAATTTAAGTTCAAATATGTTGTCGTTTGAGGTTTTATTTTACGATATTTTATTATGGATTATGGAATTGCCTGTATGAACTAGCATTTACACCAATAAGAGCAGAGAACAAGCATCCATTCTGGGTTGGTAATCTTTTAACCCCTCATTAATTCCACTTTAACTTGCATTAGCCCAAAGCAGCATAATGTTTGACCGATGCCACACAGTCCAGTTGGACCTGCAAAAAGGTGACACATCAAATGTGCCCCCCACCCCCCCACCAAAAAAAATGTTAAACCCATCCCACCCTTGAGGTAAGACAAATATATTTGATCCGGACACTGTTCATGGCTCCAAGAGTATTGCTCTCTAACCCTCCACACATAAGGTTAATTCCTATGATGAATTGATAGGGTTTCATAGATTTCTAGGTTTCAAATCAAAACATTAAACACATATGGAGCTATTAAATCTACCGGTAACTCCCATGAAAAATTTGCTCTTTAATACGTAAACTTGAAAACAAGAAAAAAGAAATATACAACTTTGGCTACGAGAGCTTTTCAAAATCATAAATCGTGAGCTGCATCAACTGGTAATAAATTTTAAATATGCTATACTACAAGTTTAGATAGTATACTGACAGGCAGACATACTTCCTTGCCACTTCTGCTTTGGGCCTCCAGGTATTCTTCATAAGACTGGGTTAAGAAGAAAAGGAAAATGATCAGAGCGGAAATTTCATTGCTTAAGAAACAGAATGATTTTATAATATCAGTAATAAGCTTAGAAAGTAACATTAGAAATAAGCTTAAAACGTAATGTACAATGTGAACTTTCCTTGACAGAGCATTCAGCATGCAAAACAACATCACTCTTACCAAAGATACGGTAAATTAGTTCAGCTTTTCTTGAGAGAGAGAGAGAGAGAGAGAGTAGAAAACATGATTGGGAACTATCAGACAATTTAAACCAAAATAAATCAAGACAAAGTCATGTTGGTTAGATTTTTTACCCTCAACATCTTTCCTAAGATGTTTTACAAAAGCCTTTGACCAAGAAAAAAAAAAGATGATGCAAAAAGCCATAAATTCTAACATATACTACAAGTCTACAACAACGAAGTCATAAGTTTAGATTCAAATTATTTTCAACAAGAGTCATCGATAACCTTTCATGTAGAGCTCTACATCTGCAAGGAAGATTTCAAACAGCCCTTCGGTATAAAATGAAGAAATGTGAAACAAAGAAGATAAGTCAAGAAAAAAATTGGAAATAATACCATTTCCAAAAAATCATCTTCAGTCAGAAGAGCGCTAGTTAGACGACTTTCTGCAGACAAACCCCAAACAACAAATTGAGATGACAAATTCCTGTCCACTTGTATATAAGAATGGTATCCATTAATGCAAGATGCAACAAAATGACAGACAAATTTCAGGAAGAATAATACCAGTAGATCTCTGATTTGCTAAATGATATCTATTTGCTTCAGCCTGCTGCTGGTAAAGAAACGAAGGATACATCATGGGTGTCTGGGACCACAATAGATGCATGGGACCCACATTATACTCTTCCTCCCCTACTGAACATGGAGGCTCTATACAAGGCCTTTTTGAAGGAAAATCATCCATGGGAATACTGCTCCACAATAAAATCGAAACTAAACGCTCATAACCAGATTTATAAATAAATAAATGAATGCATCTGCCAGTGTTGAGAAATTATTACCCGTTCGGTAAGCCGTGCACATCATCCGTCCCATCAAGAAGCTCACAAAGAGCTTCTCCAACATCTGGAGACAACTCCTGAAATAAGACAGAATATCAAGTCAAATTTTAAATCATTCTTCCAAGAAGGTAATGCAACATAAGGAAATCAGAAAGCACTTGATATTAATAATTAAAAAAACCTGGCAGTCTCTGCTAATTTTAACGGGTTTGTACTCATTTAATGGATTCTTGAGATGAAGAGTCTTTTGGAAAGGAAGATCATTTAGCCGCAGCCATTCGACCTTAAAACTGCGGCCCCATGGATTACTTCTACTACTTCCTTGACTCCATACATTGTCTCGTCTCCATCCAACAGAAGACATCATTTGAGCATACCCTTGGAAGGCACCACTCATGTTGACACTGAATATTAAAATTACTTTACCAGAGTTCTGCAACACAACCATATGCTACCCTATAAAGTATCTAGATTGGAAAGGAAAAACACAACATTAAAACATAGACGATCTTACATGAAAGGCTTCTTCCAAAATTGGTTCATTCATGACTTGAGTAGCCCAAATTCCTTTCTCAATTGATAGTTGGATATTTTGATGATTCAAACTCTTAATGATGAAATATCTAGTATCATGCACTGTACTCTTTTTTTGTGAGGTGGAATTCCCGACCTGATCACGAGAATGCTCTACTTCTTCGGATTTAGGTGGATCAACCCCCTCATTAACTTTGTGACTTGAACTCTCTGACAACAAAACATCATATTATTCACGCATCAAAGTTAGAAATGAAAACTGAAAATGCCTATCTAACTAATTGGAAAATGTCATTTTTTTGGTTAGAATGATGATATTTGGAGACTAAAATTAAACTCCTGGAGTTCAGCTAAACCTGATATAACAATTCAAACTACCAACCTATATACTACTACAAGTTCACGTCTTCCAAGAACAACATAGTACATAACGACGGCAGAATTGTAAACACTATGTGTAGGCAAATACATAAATGAAAATATATCAGTGCCAAACATCTACAAAGAGGTCCAGCATGAAAATCATTAGGTGCAACTTCCAACATCAGGCCATAAACTGGAAATATCCTGAATGCATTAACCACAAACGTATGATTATCTGAGTATATCTACTACACATGCACAAATGTAAAAGCAGTGTACATGCGCAACACATATTTTGTACATTCACCAAAGAACTTCTAAAGCAACAGTTTCACAACAGAGATTTGAAACTTCAGTTGTAGCTACAAAGCCTGAATCACTTTGCATCCAACACATCGATAATCGTATACTTGCTTGTGAGGTCAGTTTACAGTTAACGAGATGCAAATGAATAAAGTACTAATCTGATTTTAAAAAGTTCTGAGAAAAGACTCTTAACAAGGATTAGGGAAGGCAAAAAAGCACCGAAGTGAGGGATGGCAGGTTCAACAATTATAAATCAAACTGCTCTAATGGACTAGCTCTGAAAAGACACCAACCCACAATTATAGCACTTTAATTAATCACTTCCAAACTACATATTGCTTTTCATATCGCCAATCAACCAAATACTTATAATCTGCGATCCAAATTTTTTATTTTTTTTATTTTTTTTGTTTGTAAAAACAATCTGCAATTACTTTGATTATGCATGCACTCATCACAACATTGGTTAGGGCAAAGCATTGTCAACAAAGAGACAAATTTTCAGTAATTACTAATATAAAAGGCATGCTTCAAACTGTTCTTGAACAAAATTCTTCGTTCACAATTTGCAAAGTTCCTGAGATCCAAAGCAAGTGGGGGCTTCCACCCACTACATATTTTCCCTAAAGCTTCAAATGGCTTATAAATGAAATAAAATTGCACAAGGAGTTAGTCAATTCTCTCACTACTTGGGTTAACAGCATTAGACACTTCCATTACCACCCCACAACTTGGCAACCCTGTCAAAACAACGAAAACACAAAAACTCTATTACCTATCAGGCAGGAGGAAAGATGCCCGCATTTTCTAGTTTATAGGAAACAAAATTTCATTAAGAAGATGTCCAATTTTTTCAACACCAACAATGACTACAGAGCAACAATGAGAACCTCAAGAGAGGAAACTTACCCACTGATGTGAAACTATATAGTATAAAGTATAAACATATAAAACCATCACACTAGAGATTATAACAGTAAAACCATTAACGTTTTACGACAATTCCTAGGCAACACGTGTAGATTCTCTATTCCAAACAGAACTAAGTTACTGTCTTACTGAAGACTTTATTATCATATATGAATGTCCAATGACAGAGAAATGCAAAAGCCAGACATTTACTGCCACCCACCCTAGAGCGATGGAGAACATATGCAATTGAAGTTTGAAATGTTTTTGATACACACTGGGGAACACGTTCAAGTTTGACCCTAGGGTGATATCCAATCAGAACAGTGGCAAGTTATGGTAAGAAAAATTAATAAAAGAGGGCAATATCAAGTGTCCTACAAAATTTAGGAGGCATAAGACCTCCAAACTGTAATGTCATGATCTATACAAAGAGAAGAACTAAGAGCTTTTCAGCATGCAAAACGAAGATACATGGAAATTTACGCAGGGATAATTTCCATACTCATCATCCATCTCCGACATAGCATTAGGCCAACAACTACTAATTCAACTAACTCTTTGAACTTGGGTTACGTCCACAATACCAGATACAGTACGCATAGATTAAATTCATTTGAAACAGCTACTCTATATCAAACAAAGTAAATTTTATCAAGTTAAATGATCAAAAAAAGAACGAACTCACACTCTTGTTACCTGGATCATCTGAATTGCCTATGTCTTGTTTCCAGTCAGTAACAGATGAATCGACTACAGATGCATTTTCCTTCGTAGTATCACACGACATATCTGTATCAGCCTAATTTGTCATAAACCAGGTGAAATGTAAGCACAAACTAACTCTATGGCGATCAAATGGTAAGGTCAAATAAAATTCAATGAATAACTTTACTAAAGAAACCAAATAAACTAAATCCTCAATGAATAACTTTACTAATGAAAAGCATGAGGCGTGGGCAAGGCCTCCGAGGGATAGCCCGGCCTAGGCGTGAGGTGTGAGGCTTGCCTCACGGGACCTAAATTTTTTAATATATATACCGAGCGTACACATTTATTATATTAAAAAAAAAAAAAGATTATTAACCAATACTCACCCTGAGCACACACATACATATATTATATTATATATATATATAATAGAGGATGAAAAGCACAATGAGCACACATATAACAATGCGTGCAGACAGCACACACATCTATTATATAAAAAATAAAAATCAGGAAAAAAGGCAGAGAGATGATAGTGCAAGAAAGAGGCATGAGGCAGTTAAAACCCTACCCAAAATTTGGGTTTGGGAGTTAAAAAAAAAAAAAAAAAAACCCTTGAGGCGCGCCTTCCACCTCCTAGGCGGCTCCGGCAAAGCCTTACGCCCACTCCCTCAAAACAAAGGCGGAAACCCTCAAGCCCAGCCTCAGAGGGCGCCTAAGTGCGCCCTGAGGCGAGCCTTTTAAAACATTGATCTTAAAAACCATTTCCATAATTCTTATATTCAAACAGGCATCAGAAATTTTTTTTATTCAGCTAACTTCTTCTCGCTAAAATAAACAGAGCCTACTGAAAAAAGTATAATTGTCATTCATTCTGAATAGCCAAGAACAACAAATAAGTACAAATAGCCACATAGGCAAGACTAAAGAAAAATATGGTAGAGGGATTTCAACGTGCAATTAAACAAGAAGTCTGCTACTAGTTCTCTGTAGCATAAATAAATAGTGATGTAGCAACCAATAAACCATAAAAATAAAAACCTCATTAGCACTTGCAGCACCTAACGTGCAGCGTGTTTCTTATTTGTACGTACTATAAAGGTGTACACTCCACCATAAGACGTTCAAACTGATCAAATACAGGTAGTCCTTAACTATATTTTTAGCATTTCTCATAAACAGAAAAAATTAGCTTGTTTATGGTTTAGATAAGTTCTAAGAACCGATTAAAAGCATAATCTAATCCTCTCAACTATCTATAGATGAGGCATGCTCCACAAATTCATATTAAGTGTTTTTCTTCAATAACATTCCAGAAATGAAAAATACGGCTTCCAACAAAACTCGCATTTCAAACTGTCGTTGTCAATTACCGAAACTGAAACCAAACTCTAAAGCACAACCAATAGACGAGGGAAATTCCAACATTTCAGTTTGTACTAACACTAATTTGTATTAGCTCATCAATTTTGTTTACCACTTCCCGCAATTCGAATTAACATCTAACATTCAAATATGTCTATTGAACCCTATTTTAAGACAGCCCAAGCAATGATTCAAAACACTCTCTAAGATCACTAAACCTCAACAATTAGTCACTTCACAAAACTAAATTAATACAAATTAAATAAATCAAATTAACGTCCAGCACAATTACTAAACCTCAACAATTAGTCAGTTCACAAAACTAAATTAATACAAATTAACGTCCAGCACTTTATCTGATCTCGTTCCAATCATACACGGATACATAACATTTGCAAAAAATAAGATATGGAAAAATCATTCTCTTCATTGACTTCCAACATTTCTCTCAAAAATCAATAAAAACACAAAAAATAAAGATTAACTCAGTTACGGATGAACTCAAACAAAATTACCCCAACCCAATACAAAAGCTCAATGAATTAACTTAAATAAACTTTCCCTCCATTGCGAAACGCACAAAACGCGAGCCAACAAGGTCAGAACAGTATACCCATTCAAGCAAAACATCAACAGAAGCAGAAGCACTCATACCTTTTAAGAGAGAGAGGGAGATGAAGAAGTTGGGGGAGAGAGAGTTTCTTTTCGTTGGGGGGGGGGGGGGGGGGGGGGGGGGGGAGGGAAAAGAGTACAGGAGGAGTGTGTGTGTTGCCAGGAAGTGTTGTGTAATCTTCCTCCTCGAAGGAGCCCTAGTTTTCGAAAAGTACTTGGTAGTTGTAACCTACAGTTTCACGGCTTCCCCCGAACTCACTTCTGCTAGCGTTACAGGACCCAAGACCATACGGATTCTACTGCCACGTGTCAGATACTATTGAGATATTGAGATCTGACTTTTTTTTTTTTTTTTTTTTTATTGGTTTTAGGTTGGTCGGGCCAGGCTTTGCTTGACAACCAACGGGCCAAACAACCCCAATTATCTATTCTAAAACTAGGGAGCAATTGACTGTTCATTGGGCTACAGTCAATTGTTTGCCCCTCGATTTCATCTTATTTACACAAAAACCATGAGCATTGGGCTGGGTTTGAAGGATATTATTTGAACTGATAAAGGTGATTTTGTGCGGAGGGTTTAGGACGAATTACCCCTTCATTTCATCTTATTTGCAAGAAACCCATTATTTGTGGACTAGGTTGGAAGGGCAATTTTGTCCTCTGGGTTTTGAGTGAATTAAAGGGTTGCCGTGTAAGGGTTCCACTTACTGTCTTTCATTTATGGTTTCGGGGAAATGAAGCTCTCACAGAGAGCGGAAGAAACGGAGAGACAGAGAGACAGACAGAGAGAGAAAGAGAGAGAGAGAGAGAGAGAGAGAGAGAGAGAGAGATTTCGAGGGGAAGACAGCGCAGGGAGAGGTATGGCTGATGGATTTCAGAAGTGGGAAAGTGGGTGATATCTTCTCGGTTTTGACTGAGTTTGAGGGTTGTTGTGTGCTGTCCTTCGATGAGGGTTTCGGGGGGATGGAGATTGTGACAGAGAGCGGAAGAAAGAGAGAGAGAGAGAGAGAGAGAGAGAGAGAGAGAGAGATGACGATGGAAGGAGAGCGAAGGGGAAAGGTATGAGTCGTCGATTTCAGAAGTGGGGATATGGATTATCCGGATCTACCGCTGCATGCCTGGATTTCGAAAGATAAGTGCTTTAAATTTTTTTTTTTTTTCTATCAGCTTAGATCTGCCTGTTTGTTGTGGATTATTTTCGAATTTTTTAGTGTGTTAGGTCAGATTTTGGGGGAATCATCAGAGATATTTATTTCCCTTATAAATTTTCTTTTCTCTCATTTTGCACATTGATCTCTCTGTCTGCGCATTTGTTCTCTGTCCGAAGGTCCGTAAATTTTTTTTTTTTTTGTTTTTGGGGTTTTTTTATGGCTTTTTTTTTCTTTTTGTTTTCCAGGTTATAGATCTAATGTTCTTTTGTATACCAATCTTGGTTTAGTTTTCTTTTCTCTCATTTTGCACATTCATCTCTCTCTCTGCGTATTCGTTCTCTGTCTTAAGCTCGATTATTTATTTTTATTTTATTTTTTTGGAATTTTTTGTATGCCTTTTTTTTTTTCTTTTTGTTTTCCAGGTTATAGATTTAATGCTCTTTTGTATAACAATCTTGGTTTAGTTTTCTTTTCTCTCATTTTGCACATTCATCTCTCTGTCTGCGTGTTTGAATACTGTCTTAAGGTCGATTAATTTTTTTTTTTTTTTTTTTTTTTGGAGTTTTTTGTATGCCTTTTTTTTCTTTTTGTTTTCCAGGTTATAGATCTAATGCTCTTTTGTATACCAATCTTGGTTTAGTATTCTTTTCTCTCATTTTGCACATTCATCTCTCTGTCTGCGTGTTTGTTCTCTGTCTTAAGATCGATTAACTTTTTTTTTTTTTTTTTTTGGGAGTTTTTTGTATGGCTTTTTTTTTTTTCTTTTTGTTTTCCAGGTTAGACATCTAATGCTCTTTTGTATACCAATCTTGGTTTAGTTTTCCTTTCTCTCATTTTGCACATTCATCTCTCTGTGTGCCTATTTGTTCTCTGTCTTAAGGTCCATTATTATTATTTTTTTTGGGGTTTTTTGTATGCCTTTTTTTTTTTTCCAGGTTATAGATCTAATGCTCTTTTGTATACCAATTTTGGTTTTGTTTTTCTTGGAAAATTGTTTTTATCTGATTGTGGATTCGTGGGTTTTAATTTCTATCGTTTGTTGCAGGTTGCAAAGCAGGAAGTTCTCACCTGAAGCTTCAGTTTAAGGTACTGTTATTATTATTTTTAGTTCTTAGAATTTAATGTTTTGAACTGATATGATAATTTGGTTGTGAAATGTGGGATTTGTGTTCGCCTTCTGTTGCGTATGTGATGTTCTCTATTTTTATTACTGGGTGGAGATTCCATGTATTGCGGATGTTTTTGGAAATACAAAATTTTTTTTTTAGCACTAAAGTTATATTGGTTGTAAAATGGTTTTGGAAGATGATTGTCTCATTATATAAACTGCATGTATAAGGATATGGTGAGAAAACTAATTAAACTGAATCTTGGTGATGATTTTGTTCTTCGGAAGTTGTTATAAAGCGATTCAATTTAGTTGCTATTTCTGTTTATGCTTCCAAACTCGATTTTTGAGAGGTTTTTGGTCACCAAATTTTTATTGTTTTTATGGTTCATTTTTTATTAAAGTTTTTCAATTGTTTTATATTGGGTTGCATATACACTCCTCCCTCTGTTCTCTCACGCATCTTCAGCTCTCTCTCTTTCACTCTTGAGGTACCTGCCGCTGTTGCCGATCTGCAGGTAAAGCTTCAATTTCCATATAAAGGTTCCATTTTTCTTTATTTCTGGAATTTGGGTTTTAATTTCAGTAATTTATTTTTATTAAATTTGGTTGTGTGGTTAATAATTTTTCTTCTTAATTTTACTAATATTTTGAGTTTTTTTTTCTTTACAAATTTCGATTAATTTGCATGCAGTTGAATTATTTTAAAATTCCCTGTATATTTATTATTTGTTTCCAATAGCAGGTAATCAGGTAGTATATTTTATGAAAACTCTGATTAATTTTTACATATTCTTCTTTTCTGGTGTGAAGGTTAGGGATAAGCTCGCACCCAAACTCGAGAGTGACCCAACCTGTTTGCTCTGTTTTTGGATTTCGTTTTTAAATTTGATATTTATTTATTTTTAAATTTCTCTTCTAGGAGTTATGGAGGAGTTGGGGAGGAAGAACAGAGTCTTCAGCAACTGAGCTTCAAAGCTACGTCGCTTTTGCCCTCTTAATTTTCATCGAGGAAGACGATGGTCAGTTGGTACTATGTTTTCGAAAAATGATTTTTGAAGAAGTTTTTGGAAAGTTTTGAGATTTTTTAGCTTATGAATTCATATATTTTTAGGAATCAAATGGACCTAAGATTGGTATTTGAAATCCTCAAAATCTTCAGGGCTGTAGAAAAAGATGAGGACATTGAGATTGAGATAGCTGACGTTCTTTATGGTCTTAGACTCTTAGGAAGCAAACCCAAATTGAAAAACTTCGAAGTTTGAAACTAAAGAAAGAAATGGTATTGGTGATGGTTTTATGTTTTTTTTTTTTTTTTTTAATTTTTGATACAAGGGATGTTCTGCTTTAAACTAATCTAATCTGCGGTTGCAAGTAGGGTGTTTGAACTCGGGTGCATAGGGATGCGTATCCGCTGTAGCCAATATGACTACGCCTACGTTTGAGTCTAATGATTTTTATCTTTGTCTGTTTGCGTTTGCAGAGTCGAGAAGAAGGTGGAGGCTGAAAGTCAATGGACTCCCACAAGGAGAAAGTTGAAAATCCATTCGTAGTTTTTTTGGCGTGATTTTATCTGAAAGTTCTGGTTGCCTTGAAGGATGGTAAGCCTCTTCACTCTCCTCTTTTTTTCTCTCTAAACTCTTTTTGTGTAATATATTTTGTTTGATTACAGAGTTTTTGGTTCTTAAAAATCTCCAATTTTTTTTATTTGGTTTCCTCTTGATTATTGTTGCCTAAAACTCTATCAAGGGTTTGCTTTTTTGATTGTGACCTTAAACAGTCGAAGAAGGTTTATTTAATGGCTGAAGAAATTGACGATTGTTTGGTCATCAAATATTTCTCCTCTTTTGTTTGTTTGATTTCTTTCTAATATTCAAATAATTATTGTTGTGTAATCCTGATAGCACTGTTACTGCAGCTCGAATAGATATGTACCAAAGCATGGGAGATGCTCTTGCGCAGCAGTAAGGTGGCTTTGCAGCTCACAACACCGTATGTTCATATTTTATTCTTGCGTTAGAGCATGCATATATTATCAGTTGGTAGATGTCATAGATCAACCCCTATATTCTAATGTGAAGTAAAAAAAGAAGAAAAAACTCTACTCTAATCAGATGTCTACTGAAAAGAAAACAAATCACATTACAGACCAATACCTTTTTGCAGTCTTCTTGACAACAACAACTTATCCGGGTATCTTCCGCCATAGTTCTCAGAGTTGCCAAGCTTATTAATACTGTATGTTTTCTTACATCGGAACATAAATTTGTGCCTTAATTATGTTTTCATCCTTTCCTTTCTTGAATTTTCGTACTGTTGGAAACAATTCTCTAGACTTTCCCTTTTCTACAACATAATTTGAGGGATGCAATCCCGTATCAAGTTTCTTAGCCCTATAATCTTATTTGTTTTGCAGTCAAGTTGACAACAACTTTGGTGGGACTACAATTCCAGATTTGTATAGCAACATGTCTAAACTGTTCAAGTTGTAAGTGCTGCTTCTGATTCTGTCTTTTAGTAAGTCTAAAGGTAAAATTGTGTGATCTAAGGACTACAATTTCTATTTATTCATACATCAGATTTAAAGCTCCAACTACGGAGGTGTAAATCCAAAAGATTTGTGATTAATCATAGCAACAACAGAGGGAATCATAGTTTTTGTTGGGAAACTCATTTTTCCAACCACTGTGCAGGGAACATCTCCCGTTTCTATCTGATGTTATATCACATTAGGTGATGGTGCTGGTTGTTTGGAACGACAATTGAGAAGTAGCTCTTAATATTTAACACAATGAATCATGTCAAGACTGAATATCTTTGTGTTTTTGTTGTTTCTTTCAGGAGTTTGACGAACTTACAATGGCCTATTCCTGATTTCAGTAGGATTCCAAACCTCAGTTATCCACAGGTTCGAGTTTAATTGTGTAAAAAATGGAGAGATTGATCACCGTCACTCATAGCTGCGTTTCAGGAAACAAGCTCATCTCTTGCCAATTTTGTGTACCCACTTTTTATTCATGATGGTTACTTCTCGCTTGCAACCCAATTTGCTGCTATAAAGTTTTGCGTTTTACATTCTGTTCATGCTTAAACCTCTTCCAACTTTGCAATTCTGTGTAAATCTTGCAGGTCAAGATGGGACACCTATCTGGGCAATGTTGGGATGTCTAGGCTTGGGTGGAGACGTGGACTTATGGAAGTGTTGAAGTAGCTTAGCTCTATCTCAATAGCTCTCATCTGTTCTGTTTAAGCTCATTGGTGCCGACTCTGAGGTTTTTCAAAACTCTCCGTTTTCGAAATCTGAAGCTTAGAATCCCATTCAACCACAAGGAACTAGAATAATTGAAAAAAAAAAAAAATGTTTTGGCGTCCAAAAAGAAGCATGTGCAATCCTCTAATTTTATTAATATAAACCAAGTGATGCAAATCCAGTAAAGATGTAAATAAGAGCTATTAGTGGAAAAAATAGTTGTATAATTCCAGGCCTTGAAGAAGGCTACAAAGTATATGAGAATAACGTATCTATATAGTGTTTATGTTTGTTCATTTCTCCCTTATGGTTTTTTATGCCTGTTAACGCTTGAACAATGTTGCAGGTCAATCAAGCAGATAAGATTCAGAAAGAAAACTCCACATCTGTTGCCAGCAATGCTCATGGGGAACCAAAGCCTACAAATCTGAAGCCTTTTAGGTTTAGAACTGATGTATGTGAAACCTGTTGTGACCAATTTCTTTAATAAATATTAATAGCGTTGATGCTTAATATGATATGTTTTGGGTCTTTTTTTTTAGGAAAGAGGGATGTTTAAGGAAGCAACTTCGGAGAAAAAAGTGCATGCACCACTGAAGGAGATCGCATTAGTCAGGACTCCAGGGGCAAAGTCAACAAGCAAACATCAGAATGTGATACACGTATACTTGGGAGCTGCAAGTGCTTTGTGATAGGAGCATATTCATGCGACTTAATTAGCTTGTTCTCGTGCATTTACGTTGTGTTTACTTAGTTGTTTTAGTGTTTAAGGCCACTTTTGTGTATTTTCAGATTATAAGGCCAGAGTGTGCAAGAAGATGCAAATTGGAGCCTTTTGGAGCGAAAGAGGAATGAATGAGTTGAAGACTTGAAGAAACGACGAATTCCTACTCCAACGATGAATTCTTACCAAAACGAGGAATCCTACTCAAACAAGGCTTCCTATTTTAGGAAAGTTGACCTTAAGTTTCCCGTTTTGGTAACCTTTCCTAATCTTAAACGTCCGCATTTTCTAGCCACTCTGAAGTCCTTGTAGGCGCTTTAGGACGCAAAACGAAGGCCCTAGAGCCCTTCACCCTAATTAGGCCCAAATCCATGCATTAAGCCCTTCACCCTAATTGGCCCAAATCCATGCATTAAGCCCTTCACCCTAATTCTTCCTCCTAATTAGTGCATCCCACCATTCCATTCCATAATTTCCATTAGTGCATCCCACCATTCCATTCACACATAAATGCCCATTATCCCATTTTTTTAGCTTTTAATTCCACACCATCCCATTATCCTTTACATCCACTAAACCATGCATCCACATTCACCTAAATAAACCCTAAATTACATCCACTAAACCATCCATCCACCATAATTCCCACCATCCACACCTTTTCCCTTCCACCAAATACCTTAAACAAACATCCATTAACACCCATTCTCTTCCTATAAATACCCATTCATTCCATTCACCAAATCATCTCATTTTCCATTGCAATACACAAACACTTCTCCTTCCATTTCATACCATCACACAACCTATCCTTAAACCTTGTGCTACAACAACGAGGAAGAGAAGAGTGCCTAAACGTTCATACAATTCAAGTTTGAGTTGTTGGAATGTTTAGGTGTTTCTTTGATTTCAAAGTTTCATTTTAATTCTCTTTGTTTTATGGAAGAGAAGAGTGCTTAAATGTTCATACAATTCAAGTTTTGAGTTGTTGGAATGTTTAGGTGTTTCTTTGATTTCAAAGGTATGAGGAACTAATCCCCCTTTAGCTAGGGGGTGATTCGAAACTATGTTTATATTTGCAATATGAATTGATTAACTTTCGTTGGAATTTCATAAGTTGTGGATTCAATTTGTTTAACCATTTGATTGATAACTTATTTATGAATGTTTATTAAGAATGCGCGCTTAATTTTCATGCATAAATATGACGCTAGAATATAAGTGATTTTCACCTAATCGTTATGAACTTATATTCACAAGTAGTGGAGGTTGCTTATAAACAATCGCGTTAAATGAATTCTTGGCACGAGTTTCATGCTCATCATAGTAACGAATGCCTCGTCAACACTTATAGTTTTCATAATACTTAATGATCTTTGATTGTATCTTTATTGTGCTGTTCACGTAAAGGACTTTTGGAGAATGTTGTGAATTGCGTTGCGCAAACCCATCCAATTCATTAACTTAAGGAAAACTTGACGGTTAATTTAAGCGGACCTAATTAATCCGGAGTGTTGAGTTTCATAATTTATCGAAAGACCAACTGAGAATAAATCTTGTATGCAAGTATAACATGTGTGGAGAAGAACCCCTTAGCTAGCATTCATTCCATATTTCATCACATTCATATTTAAATTCTACCTTTAAATTACAATTTGTGCATTTAATTTATTTTCGTCAAAATCTCAATCCCCCTTTACTTTAGTGTCCAATTTAGTTAGAAAGTGTCTTAGTTTGTGTTTATAAGTGTTTTGTATTCTTTGAGTCTTTTGATTTGTTTTAGTGTTTTAATGTTTGTTTTACATTTTTGAGTCAGTTTCCAAGTGATTTAGTAATCCCTCCTAATCCCCGGTTTAGAACGATCCCTACTTATACTTATACTACAATTGACAAAAAGAGGGTTTAATTTGAGTGTCAAGTAAATTATCGCATCAAATTTTGGCGCCGTTGCCGGGGATTAGCAACTTTGCTAATCTCTTGGATTGTTGTATTTTCTTTTGTTTTTATTTTATTCTAGATTCTTAATCTTGTTTTGTTTCTTGTTTTAGGTACTAGTTTATGACTCGGAGTTCTCATCCGATTCATGAACCTATCTCGGTCTTTGACGCCGATTTCGAGCGAGAATTGAGACGAAAGAGAAAGAACCCAGAACCTAGCGAATCAAGTGAAAGCTCCGAGTCCGTTGCTGAATCTGAAGAAGAGAAACCCAGGAGAACAGAGGGTGAAGTAGACATGGCAGCAGACAACCGAACAATCAAAGAACTTTCCGCTTCGGGATTGGACAATGCCGCACCCCTATGTATTCAATATCCTAGGGCGGCTCTAGGCAAGACCGATGAGTTCGAATTGAAGTCAAGCTTGCTGCATCATATTCCTAAGTACCATGGGCTGTCCATGGAAGATCCAAACAAGCATTTGAAGGAGTTTGAAGTTGTATGCTCAAGCATGACACCCATTAATGTTGATGGGAATATTTTGAAGATGAAAGCTTTTCCATTCTCTCTTGTGGAAAAGGCTAAGGATTGGCTTTATGAATTGGCACCCGGGACAGTGACTTCTTGGGAAAGCATGAAGAGAGCGTTCTTGGAGAAGTTTTTCCCTACTTCAAGAGTCATTCTCTTGAGGAAGAAAATTAGCGGAATCCAACAAAGTCAAGGAGAATCTTTTCCGGCATACTATGAGCGTTTTAAAGCCCTTGTTGCATCATGTCCTCAACATCAAATGAAGGAGGAGCTTCTTCTTCAATACTTCTATGAGGGCCTTCTTCCCATTGAAAGGCAAATGCTCGATGCTTCGGCGGGAGGTGCATTGGTGGATAAAACTCCTATGGCAGCCAAGACCCTAATTGCAAACCGTGCTCTAAATGCACAACAATATGAAGGACTTGGACAAAGAGACCCCCCACGGCAACACCAAGTCAATGAGGTAAGTGCCATAACCGAACTTCAAAATCAAATGGCTAACCTTAATACGTTGCTTTCTCAGGTGGTGGAAGGTCCAAAAGTCAAAACCGTAGCTTCTTGTGGAGTATGCTCCATGCAAGGACACCCTACGGACACGTGCCCACAATTGATCGAGAATGGAGGGTGGGAGACACTCAATGCTGTGGGATATGGCAACCAATACCAATCACGTGGTGATCCGTTTTCTAATACTTACAATCCCGGTTGGCGTGATCATCCGAATTTCAAATGGCGAGATCCCCAACAAGGTCAACAACAAAGCGGATTTAGGCCAAACCCCCCTGGTTTTTATTCCAAGCCATATGCACCCCAACAATCCCAACAACCTTCGACATCATCTCATTCAGGTACGTCCTTGGAAAGTAATCAAGCGATGCAATTACTAACCTCTATTTCGCAGGGGTTGCAAAATCAGAACAACCGGATAGAAAATAACGAGAAGGAGATGATGGATATGAAGAAACAAATAGGGCAGATTTCTGAGTTCCTTGGACAGATTAGAGATAAAGGAAAGCTTCCTAGCTCAACCACAGTCAATCCAAAGGGAGGATTCGAATCCGCCAAGGCCATCACCCTAAGGGGTGGAAAAGAAGTTGGGACCGAGCCAAACAATCCCAAATCTGCCCAGGAAGTAGATGAAGAGACGACACAACCTAAGGAAGTGTCTAGCTCACCCACGGAAAGAGTGAAAAACCCAATGCCGCAGGCCCCCAATCACCCTAACTCGGCCAAATCAGGTAATTTAAGTTCAAATTCATGTACTTCACGTCCTAATCTGCCCAATGTACCTTTTCCTCGCAGGTTCATGCAAGAAAAAAAGGAAGAAAGCGAGAAGGACATTCTTGAAACGTTCCGGAAGGTGCAAGTGAACATACCGCTTCTCGATGCAATCAAACAGGTTCCAAAGTATGCTAAATTCCTCAAGGACCTATGCAATACAAAGAGAAGAAGGGCAAACAAAGAGGTAGTGAAGGTAAGCGAGAATGTGTCCGCTGTTTTGCAACGTAAACTACCTACCAAGTGCAAAGACCCCGGTAGTTTCACGATTCCTTGTTTGATTGGACATAATCGTTTTGAACATGCCATGCTTGATTTAGGTGCATCCATAAATGTCATGCCTTATTCCATTTATGCATCAATGAACCTTGGTGAGTTAAAACAAGATGGCGTTATAATTCAATTGGCCGATCGTTCTAACGCTTATCCCAAGGGAGTCCTTGAGGATGTTTTAGTGCAGGTCAATCACCTTATTTTCCCCGCAGATTTCTATGTTTTAGACATGGAGGATTCAAGCCATGCTCCATCATTGCCAATCTTGCTAGGCCGTCCCTTCATGAAAACAGCAAGAACAAAGATTGATGTGTATACGGGAACAATGACCATGGAGTTTGATGGGGACATTATTCATTTTAATCTTTCTGAAACCATTAAACATCCAATTGAGGACCATTCTTGTTTTGCTATTGATATTGTTGATTCTTTGGCACAGGTGCATTTGGATCAAATGAACGAAGATGCACTTGAGGTAGCCTTAGTCCACGGCATAGGAACAAGAAATAAGTGTGAGGGAGTCTTGGCAACCCACGGCATGCAATCTGACCATATTGCCGTGCCCCCTTGTGATGAAGTACTTGAAATGGTCGCTGCCCTCGAGTCATTGCCCTTCCACTCTGGTAAGTCTCCAATCTCACTTTTAGATTCGGTTTTGACTAACAAGTTACTTCCATCAACTGTGCAGCCACCTACACTTGAGTTAAAGCCATTACCTAGTCACTTGAAGTATGTGTTCTTGGGCCAAGATCAAACGCTACCCGTCATCATTTCAAACTTACTCACGGCTCAAGAAGAAGACAAGTTGATAAGGGTGTTAAAAGAGCACAAATCTGC